TGGATGGATGGATGGATGGATGGATGGATGGATGGATGGATGGATGGATGGATGGATGGATGGATGGATGGATGGATGGATGTTGCAGTATCTATAACAACCCAAACTCACAGGATGTCAGAATTAGACATCCCAAGTTAATAATTTCATACACTCACCAGATCTGAAAGAAATTTCACACCCATGAGTAGAGATAATGCAGCCTGATGATATTTACACCGCATCAGATAGCGTTCCCCCATGTAAAGAAGAGGGGAACACTATCTGGCGGAGTTTGGAAGCCCATCAGATACCGTTACCCCCATGTTAAGTAGGGGAAAGTTATTTGACAGGGTTTATAGGCCCGTCAGATAGCGTTCCCCCCGATGTAATTTACGTTGAGTTGCAATTAATTCAAAACTTTCTGCAGGTTCTTGTCTTTGTCGTCCGCTCTATTCAGCTGGCTTTTGAAACACACGGCGAGAAGGTGGGGGCTGGGTGGTGAGGGTTATGGGGCGAGAAACGCAATAGTAACGCAATAGTTACTTTTACTAGTAACTAGTTACTTTTATTGTGGAGTAACTCAGTTACTAAATCAGTTACTTTTTGGGAGAAGTAACTAGTAACTATAGCTAATTACTTTTTCAAAGTAACGTGCCCAACACTATAGGGCACCATATAGTGGTTAAGCCAATTTAGATTACTGTGTCCAAATGGATGAAAAAGTACTGGATGTAAAATTTCGCACAATGAACCTTCAAAAGTAGTGATCATCCTTGGTCACAAGTCAAGCAGATATATCCTGAAATGTTTTGGGAGGAGAGCTCTCATCAATGCATCATGGGATTCGTTGTCACTGCGGCCCGCCGTCCCCCACGGCTGTCCCTACCCAACAGCGGTGACAAATAACAAAGATGGCGCAGACACCGTTCAGGGAGGCGGAGTCACGTGACCGACGGGGAGGGAAAAGTAGTGATCATTTGTCCGAGCAATCAGGTAACCGAGTTCACTATAAATTCTACTATACAGTTCCCGCTCTATATATTGGTGATGGATTTAAGGGTTAGAGCGAACGTTTGGACACAGCCTATGACTCCTTCTCCATCCACTTCATGACTAGAACACTTTGTGTTTGGCCAGTTGAGGAAAAACCCGGTGGAACATCTCTTGGTTCTGTCTGTCTTTCTGGTGAAGAAGCTTCTTGGAGCAGAACCACAGCAGTGTTTTTTGGCTCAGCAAACTAAGTGGGCGACCGTGGATCCGACTGAAGCGGTTTCCTGTTTCTCTTCTGTCTGACTCACTGCTGGAAGATAAACAAAACAAAACCACAAAGACTCATAAAAGCCCCCAGATATTTCAACAAGCTCTCATTCCTGGTTTAAACACATTCTTTGTGGTGAAACTGAGTCAGACTTGTGCTTCGATGGGTCTCTCTCTCATTACAAACAACTGAGAATTAGTAAAGTATCTAAACCTTCCTTTATCCCCGAATGCAGCACGGATGGTAGTAACCACCGGGCTCCGCCCACCTGAGCTCAGCCAGGTGACTGGCGGATCCTCCCTGTTGGTTTAGAAGTCCAGGGAGAGCTGACTGGTTTGACTGGTGCACACACCCCAGCTGAGTCACACACACATAGACACGAGCGCCGCCCTGCCAAACAACGGCAGGAATGCAGAGCTGGAGAGACACACGCCCTGAAGCAAACCTTTCCACAGAAGGGGATCTGTTGGGCAGCAGCAGAACATCCACAGCAGCTCTTATGAGACACTAGAGAGGAAAAGGTCTCCAAATATGACTGAGACCTTTTCTTTGGTTGCATTTTTAAAAAGGCCTCAGCCATTTTCAGTTGGAGGATTATTCCAAATCTGAGACACTCAACAGTGACGTGGACTTCCGGCAGCAGAACCGGTCTGCTGGAATGAGCCCAGGTCCAGGACTGTTCAGGGTGGAGTCGGCAGGCAGATGGGTGGGGTGAGGAGTTAGGAACCTGCTGAAGGGACAAACCTGCAGCCTGACGGGGATCACTGGGATGGACTGATAGTCCGCGGCTGCTTGTGTACGTGTCCCGTACAGGAGGACAGCGGGACAAATTCCAGCAAAATACAGCACAGAAAGCATGAGGCAGAGCAGTTAAAATTTTTGGCTTTGATTCTGATGCCCAGTTTAGAAGAGCAGGACTTGGGTTTGGATCTCACTAGAAAAAATCGAAATCTAGATGGGTCATTTTTTCTTAAAATAAGTGCATTTGTTCTTGGATTGAGGAGGTAAAAGAGACATTTTGCCAATGGAAAAAGACAATTTTCATTTCAAATAAGAAAAAACAATTGCATTGTCTTATTTCAAGTGCACCTTATCTAATTATCTTATTTTAAGAGTAAACATACTCATTCCATTGGCAAACTATCTAATTTACCTACTCAAATCAAGGGTAAATACACTTAATTTAAGAATTTTTTAAACTTATTCCTAGATCGTTTTTGCAGCGCTCAGAGTTTTGTGTTTTTAAAACAAATAGAATTTAGTTTAAGTTATTGGATCTTTTAACTTGCAATTTATTTTGAAGCTTAGATGTTTTTATCTGTGGATTGAGCCATGTACTTTTTATTTCTTTCCCAAAACCAAGAAAAATGTAAAGATCTAAAAGCTAAGAGGACAACAAATTATTTAAAGAGGTCATTTCATTTAGACATGAGTTCTCATTTAGCAAAGAGACCTGTGGAGATGTGGGTTAAAAAGCCCACAGTTGGAGGATTAAATGTGAAATTAAAACTTCAGTAGAGCTTTGGTTCAGGGATTAGTGCTGGAGAGGAACCAGAAAGTAGCTGCTCAGAGCATCCTGAGCTGATCATCTCAAGTAAAGGGTTCAATCTGTTATTGTGAGACTCGTTTAGGGAGGCCCTGAAAATTCAAATCCTTGATGGAAACAACTCATCAAAGTCAGAGTGGTTTCAGCCTGGTGTGAGATTGTTCTGACAAAGCCTCAGTACAATTTCTGGTTCCAGTTCTACCAGTCAGAGCAGCAGCGAAACAGTTTCAGGAGGAAAAGAAGAAGAAATGTGAAAATCTCCTTTAGACTTACATCTCCGGCCAGCTGCTTGAAAACATTCCGAAACTGCTTCTCTTCTTCGGTCTCATGAGCCTCAGCGAAGTTCAGAGGTCTGCGAGGAGGAGGCTGAGAGAAGAAGGATGAAAGAAGCTTGTGTTAGCCCACAGCGAGAGGACAGTGCTCGTCTCAGTCCCACGGATTCAGGCAGTGTTCACAGCTCCGGTGTTTTCACAGTGAAAATATTCAAACCTAAACCAGCTCAGCATCTTGTTACATTAGATTGAATTCATCCATTAATTTTCTGTCACACTTTATCCCTGCTGGGGTCACGAGGGGTACTGGTGCCTATCTCAGCTGTCTATGGGTGAGAGGCAGGGTCCACCCTGGACAGGTCGCCAGTCCATTGCAGGGCAACACAGAGACAAACAACCACTGACACACACACTCACACCTACGGAGAATTTAGAGAAGCCAATTAACCTAACATCATGTTTTGGGACTGCGGGAGGAAGCCAGAGTACCCGGAGAGAACCCATGCATGCTCTGGGAGAACATGCAAACTCCATGCAGAAAGATCCCGGGCCAGGAATGGAACCCAGAACCTTCTTGCTGCAAGGCAGCAGTGCTACGCAATGTGTCACTGAGCAGTCCTTAGATTGAATTCAGACA